GCTCAAGCGAGTCTCCTGCCTCCGCCTCCCAAGTAGCTGGGACCACAGGCGTCCGCCACAACGCCCAGCTATTTTTTGGTTGCAGCCGTCACTGTTGTTTGGCGGGTCCGGGCTGGGGATTCGAATCCGCCACCTTAGGTGTACGTGGCTGGTGCCTTAGCCGGTTGAGCTATAGGCGCTGAGCCTAACAAGAAATTTAATGTTAGTTTGTTACCTTAATTCAAGCTCTGACATTCTCGTAATGGCACACAAAAACACACAACAACAACAATGAACACCTCTCAGCAAGACAGTGCCATACTCATTGGCATGAACACAGCTCTGAGACACTGATATACCAAAGTCATGAAACCTCACCAAGCTGTTTTGTACAGAGCTGCCAACGTAAGTGCATGGTGGCCAGCTAATGAACTTAATCGTCTGGCCTTGTGCATATACGAATTCTCAAAAGTAGTGCACATGATTGTGATTTTAAAAAAAAACCTATAATGCCAATGCAAATAATCCTTGCTTTTTAGATGCCTTATACTCCTACAATGAGCAAAAGGAATACTATGGTAGGCCAAAGTCATGACTGTGAATTAAAAATTCACTCATGCTACCTGACATTTTACCAACAGTTCATCTAAGCTCCACCTATGTAAAGTGGCATTATCATACCCCTCTTGTGAAAAGATGACAAAATTTAAAAGCTAAAAAAAATTAAGTGAAGTACCCAAAGACACACAACCACAGCACAGAGCCTGGGATTGGACCCTAGCTCTTTCCACAGAACCATACTGATGCTGCCTTGACTTTGGAAAACAATGCCAAGTAAGCAAGGAAAGAGATTCTCTTGAGCAGTGCTGAATGAAGGAAGAAGGAAAACCGAAAGGGGAAAAGCATAGATGCCAATGCCTTAGAAACCTCTGTATGGGTCATGCCCTACCAAGAAAAGGAGTCACACACAAAGGGGGTTTCAAAGAAATTTTATAAAGAGACTACTTCTACAGGCCAGCGCAAGATCAAGGAAAGCTATGGCACTAGCAGCAGCAACAGAACAAGCAATCAAGGAAAACCATTATTACCCCAAGGCCTGAGGGGTGAAGAGCTAGGGGTGATGGTATAACTGGTACAAGGTTGAGAACTGGAGAGGTGGGGGCTGCCTGGGAGGAGCTATAGTTATAAGAGGACACAGCTATGGCCAAAAACATGGCCAGGTGGGGAGCTTCTCCCTTCTGCCTTCCAATTTCCTGCTAGTGCCTCCCTGTAGCTGAATCAAGTAGAAGGGAGCCCAAGCGTAAGGGAGCTCAGGTGATAGGTTCCATAGAGCTCAGCCTTCTAAGCTACAGAGCAGGGCATAGACAAGAGAATGGGTCGGGAGCCAACAAAATAACTTTCACGCCTGCAGAGATGGTAATCCCACCTTAAATATTTGTAGTGCCTTTACTGAGCTGCTTTCACTCTGGATTGAATACCAGGCTTCAAATTAAAATAATTGTTTCCATATAGCCAATTTCCTAAATCATACCACACTAACCCATGCTACCCCTTGTTCCTTGTTCCATCTTCTTACTCACCTGGCCAACAACCATAATGCCTACTTATTGTATGCCTTGCTTTTTCCCTTCACGCAAATAAATGCTCTAAATCTGTCTCAGATTTTGACAATGATTTGCCTCCTGGCTGCACTATTTTTCCTCCATGGCTTTGCACAATCACAACTCTTAAGGAAACACCTTATCCAGCTTAACTCTTCCCTTAATACTTAGATTTCTCATTTCTTGCAGCCCAATCAGTGTCTGGCCTGGTTCATGATGCCTTTAAAGGGAGAACTCAACCTCACAGACCCAAAGTCTGAGACACACCTCAGGAATAGCAAATAGAAGGGTTTATAGGCACATGGCACTTCCACTTCCTGACCAGCAAGCTAGCCAATAAGAAAGACTTCCTCCAAACAGAGAATGCTAGCCCAGGAAGCAGGATGGCAAGTATTCAAGGTGGGATTACCATCTCACCCACTTAATTGGAGCAGCTGTCCTCCCCTGAAGGTGATGTTCTATGCCTACACCATCTGCTGAGCTGCTGGGATTCCAGTCGTGGGATTGGCCAAATCTGTAGGCTATTTTCAGGTGAAACAAGGTTGATTACCTATCTGGTTTCCTTCCTAATCAAACATAAAAATGGTCCTCAGGACAGGCCTAAAGCCTGGGCCTTGTGAGAAGCACTTTTTTAGAAATTGGCCTTTCCTTCATCTCATTGTCATCATCTCTAGGATGCGTATAGGGTTGTTTTGCACCAACTGCTTCTATGGGGACAGGAGGCAGCCATGTAGTCAAAGTTGCCCTAGGAGCCAAAATAGTCATTAGGGAAGGAAGGCCATTAAAAAAACAAACACAGGGTGGCGCTGTGGCTCAAAGGAGTAGGGCGCTGGCCCCATATGTGGGAGGTGGCGGGTTCAAACCCAGCCCTGGCCAAAAATACTTGAAAAGGGCAAAGAAAACCCTCCTGCTGTATGTGTGTACCATCCAGTCAGGACCACCTACAGAATCTGAGGGACTCAATGCAAAATGAAAATGCAAGACCACCTATCAAAAAAATATTAAGAATTTCAAGAATCATTGAACTAAGCACAGGGCCATTCTAGCACAGAGGCCTGTGTAACTACACAGCCCACGTGTCCACGAAGCCAGCCTTGACTATGGTGGTACATTCCAACAGGGAACATCAGTGACGTGGGAAACCTACTTGCGTTTGCTTGCTGTGGCACCTCTTGATCTATGTACACAACTCCGTGGATTCTGCATCCTTGGTCATTGAAATAGCTTGCATTATTGATATCTTTACATTGACCACACCCCCATCTTCCTGTTACAACTAACACAGGGAGCAAAAAAGTGACCAATCCATTCGTACAGTCAGCACACTGCCAGGACCAGACTTTTATAAGGGTCCTGGAAGAAATGAAGAGCAAGTAGCTTTACAGAACTTGGCAATGCACTGCATCAAACAAGGCAGACACTCTTTCAAGCACCACTCCACAGAACCTTGGCTCCTAGAGCAAGCTAAAGAGTTTTGCCCAAGTTTGCTGATGCCTGTGAAAGCAGGAGGTATGGTCCCACTGGTGACAACCTCACCACAACCCCCCTCCACCGGTGAATTCAGTGGGACAATCAGCTCACGAGCAGCCTGTACCTGCTGACTAGTCTTGCTGGGATACCAGCCCAATCCACTTGTAGGGTTGAGAAAAAGCCCAAGCAGCTAGTGGTAGTTTTATTGAAAATTACTTTAGAACCTGACCCATCAAGAGGGAAGCTATAACACAAGTTTATCATATATTACTATAATTGGGGTGACTATATAAATTTATCACAGAAAACTGGAACCCTATTTATTATGCAAGGTAAATAGGCATATATGGTAACCTGACCTACAATCCCCTCACTATTTTCTTTTTCTTTCTTTTTTTTTTTTTTTATTTTGAGACATCACCCTTGGTAGAGTACTGTGGCATCATAACTCACAGCAACCTCAAATTCTTAGGCACAAGCAATCCTCCTGCCTCAGCCTCCTGACTAGCTGAGACTACAAGCACCTGCTACAGTGCTGGGTTGTTTTTTCTATTTTCAGGAGAGACGGGGTCTCCATCTTTCTCAGGCTGTTCCCAAACTCCTGAGCACAGGCGATCCACCTGCCTCAGCCTTCCAGAATGCTAGGGTTACAGGGGTGAGCCACAGGGCCTGGCCTCCCCTTGGGCAAGAAAGTAAGAGCAGAGCTAAAAGAATCTGTCCTAGCCGCCTTAGCCAAGCCACAGGTGTTTCTGTTGTCTGTATGCACTGTATACTAGGTTGTAACCTAGTAACTTCCTTGGACTTCCATTGCCTTTGAGGGCAGGTAGCCTGACTGGTCTCAAGGACACAGGTGAATCTGACCTTCCCCCTTGAGCCCAGGACCTTGAGGATGGTGTCATGTCTCTGTTTTATGACCCTCATGTGCACTCCTGCCCTGAAAAGTGGATAAAAGAGAGGCAATAGATTGAGTTGGGGGGGGGGGCTCAGTTTTGGAGACAACACTGGTCTTCCGAGTTCCCCCTGGCTGGAATAAACCAGTTTTCTCTAATCAACTGGTACTGGAGTCTTCTGTCTGCGTCAGTTTCCTGCTACACCCTCACTATTTTCTACTACTGTTTTACTCATACAATAGTAACTGTTCCCTGTCTTATATTTCTGCAGTTTTTTTCCTGCACAAATGACTTGCATACGTAGTTCATTTAACCTGTACGTGTGAAATATTACCCTACCACTGCTTGACTATCCCTCCAACTTTTGAAGTCATTTTGACTTAGTGTAGCTGAATTCTAGTTAATAACTTGTCTTTTCTTCCTCTGCAACAGTAGGCCTGACTAGAAAGAAATATCAACTGGTTATAATTATGTAAAATGAAGATTTTCTTCTCTAGTCAGTAAAATTCCAATCTTCCTTTTCTAAATGTTTTGTTGTTCCTGAAGATGAGTCCAATTTCTTAAATCAAACTTCTCAAAGAGCAATTAAACAATAATGATAAAGGCTAGGGTGGTGGCTCATGCCTGTGATTCTAGCAGTGTGGTAGGCCAAGGGGCAACCATCATTTGAGCTCAGGAGTTGGAGACCAGCCTGAGCAAGCCACATCTCCTAAAAAAAAAAAAAAAAAATTGTGGAGGGCACCTGTAGTGACCTACTTGGGAGGCTGAGGCAGAAGGATGGCTAGAGCCCAGAAGTTTGAGGTTAGAGTGAGCTATGATAATGACACCACAGGACTCTAGTCTGAGCAACACAGTGAAACTCTGTCTCAAAATAATAATAATAATAATAATAATAATTAGACTTAAAACTTACAGATGGGCAATCCAAAATTAATTCTTCAACAGATCCTATGTCCAGGCCAAGCTTTTCTGACAGAATTTCAAATATATATTTGTATGAAGGGTCAATTTTCAGCTTTCGGTTTTCCCTTGCATCTCTAAATCTTGCCTAAAGAATGAAAACCACATATAAAAATTGGCATTATGTAGGGGGAAAAAATATTTTATTTATAATAAAAGTGATATACATGAAAAATCTTATTAGAAGCAAACCTGTTTCTCTTTTAATGTTTCCTGAAGATTTGGAATACCACTCATACTTCGGCGATATTTAGACGATCGACGAGGAGACAAAGAAAGCATTTCAGAGAGCACTGATTGAGCAGGGCGCGGCTGGGGCCTAGCTCGATGTCTATCTAGCGCCTTCTCTTCTGGAAGAATTTCCTCTTCTTCGCTAGGAATGAGGTTCCGAAAGTCAGTACCTTCCGCGGGAAGAGGGAATTCTGCACCAGCCTCCTCTCCTGGAGGGGGCGGGGCCTCTTCTTCCGGAGGGGGCGGGGCCACATCTTGCGAAAGGTCTGCCTCTTCTGTTGAGGGAGGAGCCTCTTGTGCCGCCTCAGGAGGGACGCTTTCACTGTCAGTGTTTTCCATCGTCTCCTCCCGCAGAATACCTTAAACACCAAAACCTGGAATTATAAAATGTTCTCTTTTAAAACTGTACAATAAATTCGGTGTTGTGTGTTTTTATTCCTCTCCTGAAAATAAGAGAAGTAGCAAAGTCATCTTTCTCTCCCTTAGCATATATGTGATGAAGCTAGGTTTACAGGGCTACAGAGATGATTTGGGACACACACACACACACCACATCACACACACCCTTTGGTTTTTTCAAACTCTAAGTGCTGCTCCTGAATACAGTCCCAGAAGACTGTCCCTCCACACACATCCAATCCCTGCCATCGAAACCACTCCAACTGATGGGAGGGCACCTGTAAGGTGCTTAGTGCTGAAAAAAGATTGACAGCTACTGCACTAGAGGACTGACTGGAGATCACTGTCAAGATACTGATCGTGCAATAGCCAAGCACAGAACTACGCCAGCTTGAAATGGGCCTTGCTTCAAGGAACAGTGTGATACAACACAGGTAATCAATCAGACATCCAACTGTCCAGCCACCTCATCTATGTGAGCATAACCAGAAGCCCACAAAAGCATAAAACATCCTCTTAACATCCAAAATAGATACCCCAAGTCCAAACAAAGTTTATACTGAAACATAATTGTGATATTCATTGAAGTGATGGTACCACATACAGTATAAATCTTCCCTATCTAATCAGAAAAGCTCTAATTTTAAAGAAGTGTAGCAGTTATCATGAGCTGATAACCATGAAAGTTAGGGTACACCAATGGAACAGGAGGAAATGTCACTTACAGACAAAAGTCATATTGTAGGGCATTATGAAGTCTGCATCAAAATAAACAAGTTTCAGGATATGACTAAAATCCAGACACCAGAATAATAGTAAATACTTGAAGACCAAAGGATACATTCCCAAGAAGACAAGAAGCCAGAGAAAGAGGCTTTCTAATGAGCAATGCTGAGGACGCAGATGCAGACCTGGGCTAAGTAAGTTGGAGCTTTCTATGGCAGGACACCAGCAGACATGACTCAGAGACAGTGTATCACCTACACCCCACAACTGCCCTCTCCAAGTTTTCCAAAGAACTCATAAACAGCTGAAATTGTTTTCTTTGATACCCTTAGTTGGCCTACTCAAAGATAAAAATACCCAAACTGACCTATCTTTAAGCTACCAGGTTACCCTCCCACCTGTGGGTGTTAGTTACAGCAGGATCTTTGGCTCAGTTCGTTCCAAGGACTCTGCTGGCAAAAGCTCAGGTCCTACGACCTTTTGTACTGAAAGCAGTACACAGTAAAAAAGGTCCAGAATGACCAGCTGTAAAGATAAAGTTAGCTAAGCAGGAATAGAGAACAGGGTAAATCATACGTTTTTTGACCTTGGATATTTTGAAGATTGCCAGCTTTGCATGCCTAAGGATGAATTAATATCCATTGGGAACTCCGTTAGGGGCCGCACTTCTTGCCATCCGCTTAGCATGTGAAGTTGCTGGCCTCCCTGGGCACTTTGGTTGTCTTTGCACAGCCCAGAAGTGTTTCCTTCATTGCGTAGCTCCCAAAACTTTTCAACCCACACCTACCCACCCCCAAATGTGTAAACATGAACTATTGTTCCCAAACTGTCCACAGTATTTTAAAATCCTACCTCTCTCTTTCCTGTCTTTTATAAATCCTAGTTTTTGCCTTTAATCCTTGACCCCAATCAAATGTCTATCATCTTCACATGTGTAAAATAACTCAAATAATTAAATGTATGTTTTTGGGTTATTATTAGACATGAGGAAGATCTACAACACCAGGATTTGTGTGCACATTACGTTCTTAACCCTTAAAATTGGCGTAGAGCAGTTGGTCATACTATTTATAACTCAGGAACGAGTATGTAAGATACCTGTTAGTGAAGTCAGCCAATTCCCTGTCAGTCTGCTCCAGTTGACACTTTTGAATCCTACAAAGCAATTCACTTTACTCAGTAAGAGAATCTTTGCATCTTTTCTCCAAGAATATTGATAAGGAGCATGGTCATCTGTGTTTTGCAACCAAAGCAAAGTTTGATTTAGTATCAGTGGTAAACATATGTACTAATGGAGCTCAGTAGGACCAGGGAGCTTCCCTGGAGGCAATCAGTGCTCTTCGTAGGGCCATACAACTATTTAAACCATCAAGAAAAGGCAAAAATGGAATCATAATATCTGCGTAAGAAGTCAAGGTAGAGGCCAGTGTGGTGGCTCCTGCCTGGAATCCTAACACTCTTGGAGGCTAAGGAAGGACGGTTGCTAGAGCTAAGGAGTTTGAGACCAGCTAGAGCTAAGGAGTTTGAGACCAGCTAGAGCTAAGGAGTTTGAGACCAGCTAGAGCTAAGGAGTTTGAGACCAGCCCGAGCAAGAGCGAGACCCTGTCTCTACTAAAAACGGAAAAATCTTTTTGATATATTGATTTCCCTTCCTTGGCAATATATACCCAGCAATAGATTGCTGAGTCATATGGTAGTTCTATTTTCCGTTTTTGAGGAATGAGTAGACATTTCTGAAAGAAGATATACAAATAACCAATAAGCACATGAAAAGATGTTCCATATTATTAGTCCTCAGAAAAATGCTAATCAAAGTCACAATGAGATACCATTTTAGAGCCAGCAGGATAGCAATAAAAAATAATAAATAGTGCTGGCAGGAATGCGAGAAAGTGAAACCTTCACCCATTGCTAGTGAGAATGTAAAATTGTACAGCCTCTGTGCAGAACGGTTTGGCAGTTCCTCAGACAGCTAAACATAGAATTACCATATGACCCATCAATTCCACTCATAGATGGAACTCCAATAGTGATTCCACCCAAGAGAATGAAAAACACATATCTACACAAAAATGTGTATATATATGTTCAGAGCGGCATTAGTCACAACAGGCAAAAAGTGGAAACAAACCAAATGTCCACCAACTGATGAACAGATAAACAAAGCACGGCATGTCCATTTAAATACTATTCAGTCCTAAGAAGGAATGACAGACTGTTAAACGCTGCCACATGGATGAACCTTGGAAACATCACACTAAGGGAAAGAAGCCAGACACAAAAGACTATATATTGTGTGATTCCATTCACATAAAATGTTCAGAAAAGACAAATGCACAGAGACAGAAAGTAGATTAGTGGTTGCCAGGGGGTATGGGTAAGGGAGAAATTGTGACTAAGTGTTAATAGCCATGATGGGTTTTTTATGTTTTTTGTTTTGTTTTGTTTTTTTGTGAGATGGAGTCCCACTTTATCAGCTCACAGCAACTTCAAACTCTTGGGCGTAAGCAATTCTCTTGCCTCAGCTTCCAGAGTAGCTGGGACTACAGGTGCCTGCCACAATGCCCAGCTATATTTTGGCTGTAGTTGTCATTGTTGTTTGGCAGGTCCAGGCTGGATTCGAATCCACTAGCTCTGGTGTATGTGGCTGGCGCCCTAGCCGCTGAGCTATAGGCGCAGAGCCGGCATGGGTTTCTTTTTCTTTCTTTTTTTTTATAACCAAGTGAAAAACAATTTTATTACTACACAGATTTTCATGGGGGATAAAGATATCTACATGTTATACAGATTTCAGTGACTCAAAGTCCAAGGTAGAATAATTTTTTTAACTTAAGACCAGGAAAACCTTAGAAGGTAAAAACAAATGATCATAAAATAAATGCTATTATAATGTTACTAGTAATTAAAAAAAAGTCCTGGTTTTGAGAAATAGTAATCTACCTTCAAAATATATGCTAATACTAGACAAAGGGGGACAAAAATTTAAGAGCCTCCTCTTTGTTGTCTTGTTTCTTCAGTGTGGGAAGAAATTAATTCACTTTGAGATTTCTGAAAGATTTATTAAAGTTCAGCAGCATGAAGAGTAGACAAGAACTTTTCTATCTACAATCATCAGCAAGAAGCTGAAAAGAACCTATTAGTTCCATTTATCTTGGATGATTTTCTATGACCGGTTACTACTGTCCAAGGAAGGAGGCCATGGGGTCATCTGGCCTCTGACGTTTCATTCTTCAGGCCTCCATTTCCTCTTCTGTGGGTTCCCAAGTTTCACACATGCTGTCGTAAGGCCGCTTCCTCTCATCAGTCTGCATGATCTCCTTGACGTGCAGAAGTCGGGCTTCCTCTGCATTCAGTGCCTTTTTCAATTTTTCAGGTTTCTTTTCTTCATCATCACTATCTGAACTGCTCTTTCAGTGCTTCTTTTTTTTCTTCTTTTTCTCCTCTTTTAGTTTTTCCTGATGCAGTTCCATAAGGGTTTGAGGCTTCTTTATAGATTCTTTCCCAGTTGTATTATTCATAATACTTTCCTCTGAATTAATAATCTCCTTCCCGACTTCTCCAGTACAATAGGAATATTTGAAAAAAGAGTGACAGCACTTGTATTCCCATTGGCCTTCTTTCCAGTAGGATCCCCAGATATGTGTATGATTGTTGATCTTCACATCCTCCTCGTACTTGGAACGGGCAACAGCCCGTTCCTGTCCTTTGATCACCGTCCCATGTCTTGAGTACTCTACGTAGTCTTGTTTGGGCTAAAAGCAACTCAGGTGGAGGGGCATCCTAATGTTCTTGGCCACCATCCTTTTCCAGGATGCTTTCTTTTTGCTGTTCTTTGAAGTCTTCTTTTTGACTTTGAAGGACTTATACAACAGCTCTAGTTTTGTAGGATCTGTCTGTAGATGTACTTCAGAACCCTTGTCATAGGCTTCCCAAGCAAACAACTGTGTCTGAGCCATTGAAATGGTGTCTCCTGTGTATCTAACGAAGTTATCTCCCGCATAACTCACTTCATCTGGGTTCTTTCCAGCATTGGCATAAGGATTCTCTCTCATTGCTCTAGTTTTTGGATCATAGTAGGCAGAACTTGGATCTAAATTCCTTAAATATTTTGCAATATCTTCTCTAATCCTGAGCTTCTGGACAGTAATTCGTCTCTTAGAGTCAAAATTCTGCCCAGGTATGTCAATATCATCTGCATATTTATCTTCATCCTCATCTTCACTATTATGATCTTTTTCCGTCTGTGAATTTGGTTCCTCTTTTCCCCATTGGTGTTTTGGAGAATTAGCCTGTTCTACTAATTCTCCTGAGGCTAATTCTTCTTGGGAGTTTCTGGGTTTTCAACGTTCGTTTTGCCAGATCAACTTCGGCATATTCTTCTACAATTTTCACGTGTTCTTCAGGATTGTAGCCATTCCAGCGATCCCTCTTCCCATCATAGTCAAACATCAGTTGAGGCTGCGCAAGCTCCTTTGCGGTACTTTGTAGTTATGGAATTCTCTTTTACTCCCCTCTTGGACCATTCTCCGGATGAGCTGTATTGCTTTTGTTTCTCTGGTTGTGGTCTCTGGTGCTTTAAAGTAGGTCTTTTTGATGGATCAATAGACCATGGTACTGAAGAAATATACTGAGGAATATGAGGGTTGATGTCTTTTCCTTCTTCATCAACTTCTGCAGGAGCATTTCCCAATTTTTGCTGTTCTTCTAGCTCCTTCTTCTTTCTCCAGTCCTCTCTGGTCATTTTCTTTGGTTCTTCCAAACTCACTTCCTTAGACCCTGACAAGGGTGCAGCATTAACTGCATCTACAGCTGCAGCTGACATGGTTACCTGGTGTCCTCCGGTCCCACCACAGCCGACCCCAAAACCATCTGACAGAAATAAAGCCAATCTCGTAACATTTACTTCCCGACGTCCCACTGTCTTCGGCAGCCCGGTTTCTTTTTCAAGTGATGGAAATGTTCCGGTCTTAGCAGTTGTCATTAAACAACACCATGAATATAATAAAAACTAGTGAACATGGTGAACTTTACCTTAAGCATCTCTCAATTTCACAAATACTATTAAAAAACAAAAACACAGTCAGGCATGGTGGTCCGTGCCTATAATCACTGATGGCTTCTGAAAAAAACCTCTTTGAAACGAAACAAGAGACAATGGTAAAAAGAGGCAGAACCACTTTAGGCTTTAACCTACCTGTCTGCGTCAGTATTTCCCCTTTACTCAGCAGTTGTTTATAATTTTTCAAAGAAAGGGTATTAAAGGCTAAAAACCCTTAATTTAGTCTTGAATATTACCAGTTAGGTTAAGCAAGATCTATGGTTACTAAGGTCAGGCTGAACTCATAAACTTGGAAAAGGAAATCTGAAACCAAGTAAAAAAGGAAACATAAAAAGAAAATAAGAAGGAAAATCCAGGAAGAAGACAGAAAGTAGAATGAGGAGAATGAAGAAAGGGTTCCTCCCTCCATTTCCACAGGTTCAAAGTGATCTGAGTCACTATTACGTGCCCAAGACTATGATATTTACTCTGGGAGAAAAAAAAAACAATACAAGGCTGGACATAGAGGTTCACTCTATAATTCCAGCATGTTGAAAGGCTAAGGTTGGAGGGCTGATTGAGGCCAGTAGTTTGAGATCAGCCTGGACAACATAGCAAGATCCCATCACTACAAAAAATTTAAAAATTAGCTGGGTACAGTGGCTAATGCTTCAAGACTCTTGTCTTGACAAGTCCAGCCTTATCTGGGAGATAAAGTAATCTACATGAATCAGTGCTAAATTGTGAGGTTCTACTGAAAAAATAATTTAGAGAAGGAAAAAGTTAGTGTGAACAAAACAGACAAAGAAGATTTCATGAAGGATTTGGACATTAGTTGGCCTTGAAAGATGAGTAGGCTTCAGTAATAAGCAGAGGAAAGAAATCTAAAGAGAGAAGTTACAGAGATAAATCTACCAAAAGGTACGAATAGGTCACAATGGGGAGGATTTAATTGGAAAAAGTATAGAATTATGCCATTTTGTACTCATTCTTCCAAAAGATCAGAAAAACACGGATTCAGAATCAATTAAAATAAATAAGTAATAAATGTGGTTTTTACACAAGAAGAGAACATTCTCATGTTAATTCTTCTACCCCAGTGCTTTTTTTCCCCCCAGCTCTCCAAAGTAGGTGTGGTTGCTGTTGTTGTTTATTCTCCTAATTAGGAATTGGTCAAGTTTATAATAAAGTACATTGAAAGAAGCTGTGAGTTACTCTGCTCATATGGTAGTCTCTTAAACATAATCTATAGTCTCAACGCAAGTAAATATTATAAATAGATACTTTCTACCTCTGTATGTGTCAACTTACCTCAGGTTCTTTGGGATTTGTGTAAAGCTGTTTAAGGGAAGAAAAAAAAATACAGCATTTAATTTCTGAAACTTACTAGATTTTTCCTCACAGAGTATATGTTCTATGTAAAGAGTTCAATTTGTATTCCATAAATTAAGGGCTGAATTACACAGTATTGTTCAAACTAGGGATAAGATAACCTCTTATTTTATGACCCTAACCAGTCTCTATAGTTAATACTCTGTGAACAATGGAAATTGATAATCAAGCATTAATCTCTTCCCCAGCTATTAAAAATGGATTATAATTTATTACATTAATAGTTTACATTTTTAAAAAATCATATATCTAAAACTCCCAAAACAAATGAATACATGACCACTACCAAAATAAATAAATACATGACTACAAAGACCTGAGATTTTTGCTTAGGAAAGTTGTAGAATTCTTCCTCTATAAAGTACCATAATTTGAGATGCATTTTCTACATGATTTTTGAGTGTAAAATCTTACTTGGCATGTAATAAACTCTAAATGCTAAAATACCAGCCTTTACTTCCAAAAAGTGACACAATTGTTAAATTTTAAGTTAGAAAATCTATACAACTATTTTACAGAGAGGAATTCCTAAAAACTGTAGCAAATTTTTTTTTTTGAGATAATCTCATTATGTTGCCCTCGGTAGAGTGCTATAGCGTCACAGTTCACAGCAACCTCAAACTCTTTGGCTTAAGTGACTCTCTTGCCTCAGTCTCCCAAGTAGCCAGGACCACAGGTGCCAGCCACGCTGGCCACTTTTTGTTGTTGTTGTTGTTGTTGTTGTTGCAGCTGTCATTGCTGTTCAGCAGGCCCCAACCTGGCTCAAACTCCTGCCAGCATCGGTGTATGTGGCCAGCAACCCTCCCTGAGCCACGGGCACCAAGCCTGCAGCAAAATTTTTAATAGTACATAGCTGAAATGAAAAAATATTAGCAAATATATTAACTTACCATATATACATATTGTATATGTATGTATGTATGTTTGTGTACACACACAAGGTTGTTGGTTCATTGCAACATGTTTGTAACAGCAAAAACAAGCAAAGAAACCAAACACACGTGGGAAACAATCAAGATATTCCTTGATTGGAATTTTCTGCTCCTGGATCAACTAAAGTACCCATTGTACTGTACTACTGTCATTCAATAAAACTTTAATGCAGACATTAGCAGTAAAAAGAATGAGGTATGGCTATATATGCAAATATGGAAATCTCTCTAAGACATTACTATATTTTTTAAAAGCAAGGTACAGTACAGTGCATAATGATACCACATGTATAAATTTTTTAAAGTGTATATGTGCAATATGTACTATTTCATCAATTCTAAGATGCACGCTTAAAGGTTTAATTGGCAGCATTTTTTTCCCTTTCCCAGCATTTTTATCTCTATGCAATATGTAAAGACATAAAATATCTAACTCGTATTTACATAATTGCATAAATTGCAATCAGTAATAGTTTAGATTTGATAAAGTGCATTATGAGCTTTCCAGGTGGAATAGACAATAAATTATTTAAAATGATCACTTTGAGTGGAAGAGACTGGAGGAGGCAAGTAGGAGAAGAATTTTACTTTTCAAATTTCTAGCTCTCGGTATGATCTCTTTAAAAAATCGTGTACATGGCTCGGCGCCTGTAGCACGGTGGTCATGGCGCCGGGCCACATACACCAAGGCTGTAGGGTTCAAACCCGGCCCGCGCCAGCTAAACAACAATGACAACTGCAACAAGAAAATAGCCAGACGATGTGGCGGGCACCTGTAGTCCCAGCTACTTGGGAGGCTGAGGCAAGAGAATTGCTTAAGCCCAAGAGTTTGAGGTAGCTGTGAGCTGCGACGCAACAGCACTTTACCTAGGGTGGCATGGTGAGATTCTGTCTCAAAAATAAAATAAAACATTAAAAAAATATGGTATGTATGTATGTCACGTACAATAACATACAATATATGCATTTTTTTCATACATCTCTCAGGAGTTAAAAAGATCAACACTTGTTCACCTCCCAGCCCTCTCTCTTCCACAGGTAACTCACTGCCACATGCAGCCATTTTCAATCCCCACCACTCCTGCTCCTTAAGTTCAATTTCGGGGGTCAAGTGAACTTGCATAAAGTCATCCGTAGCCATTTTTAGGAGTAACAGGATATTGGACCCCTCCGCACCTGGAAACCCTGCAGTCAGCAAGCAAAGTCTACTATGTGCTGATTCAACCACGTCCCTTTTTCTTGTACCCACTCGTGTAAGCCCAGCCCTGACCGCGCTAGCTAGTTCACGGTTCCCGGGGGCTTCTGCGCGCTTGGCCACTGTGGCTACGCCGAAGACCTGCAAGCCGCTCCAGAGCAAAGCGCGTGAATTGGGACGACGGACTGTTAAAGTGGATAAAAATGAGTTAGCAAAGGGCAGAGAACGCCAGCAGGAGAGAGATTTCTGGAAAAAGCAAAAACTTGATAAAGAAGATGTCATATAGGGCCAGCGCCTGGCCCTATATGCTGGAGGTGGCGGGTTCAAACCCAGCCCTGGCCAAAAACTGAGAAAAAAAAAAAAAAAAGTGCCGTCTAAGTCAGATCTGAGGAGAGGATGGGCGAGGAGGGGGAGCATTCTAAAAGGAGGTGGGGATAGCGGAGCAAAAGGTGGCAAGCAGGAGAAGGCACTGCTGGCTGGAAAAGGTACCAATTCCGGCCAGTGAGAAGGATCGAGGAGCAGAAAGTAAGACTGGAGGGACAGGAATTTTGCCTGTTTTGCCTGTTTTGGAGCAGAACGCTCCTGGGTTCAGCTCGCAGAGCCGGGACACTGAATCTCAGCGAGGACTCGGGTCGGGAAGGCGGGCGAGGGGCTCCGGGGGCGCCGGCCCGGCCCGCCGCTCACTCACCGCCCAGCCACGTCCGCAGCTCCGCTCCCCGCCTCGACGGCCACCCAGCGACTCTCGGCCGTTGGGAGTACGAGAGGGGTTCGCTCCGGGACGCCCCGCGCCGCGGTGCCGGGCTGCGGGGCGTGCTGGAGGGGCTCGGGCTCCCCCGGAGAGAACTCCACTGCGGAGCCTGGGGGCCTGGGGCTCGGAAGAGCGGCTTCCTGGAGATGGAAATCGGGGCGGGGGTAGCAAGTGCAGAGCGACGGGAGGATGCCGGCGTTTGCTTCGAGGATATTGCCGTGGGAAATAAGTAAATATGTAAAATAATGTGTTCGGACCAGAGCAGTGCCTGTAAGCAGTGCAGTGCCTAGCACTCTGGGAGGAGAAGGCGTGAGGATCCCTTGAGCTCAGAAGTTCGAGACCAGCCTGAGCAAGAGCGAGATTTCCCCCCACACCCCCACCCCATCCCCATCTCTAATAAATATAGAAAAACTAGCCGGGTATGGTGGCTTCCACCTATAGGCCCAGCTACTTGGGAGGCTAAGACAGGAGGATTCTCGTACCCAGGAGTTTGAGGTTGCTGTGAGGTAGGCTGACGTCTAGGCACTCTAGACAGGGCGACAGAGTGAGCCACTGTCATTCATAGATAGATAGATACCGACGG